CGTCTTCATCTCTCAACACATTCCCTTATCACCAATATCATGAAGGAAAAGCCATCCGATGAGTTTCTGGAGCGTATCCAGTACCCTATACGGCCATGGTGGGTTGGATCAAGCCGACCTCCAAAGATACAAAGAAGGGAGATATAGATGAATATGCGCACTTCATGTGGTCCCAGTGTGTAGGCCTCGCCTGGCTGGGACTGCAGGTTTTTTGAGACTTTTTCCCGTGCACGCAGTTTCCATTGCTACCATTTTTTTTGGGGTAGAAGGTTCCGTGGAGAAGGTGGCCGAATTCCACGGGTAAACACTGAGCTGAATGGCTATTAATCACGGGCAATATATCAATGATCTTTCGAGTAACAAAAGAGGTAAGGAGTACTGTACAAGGCGTTGCCTGGGCCAGAAAGGAGCCCAATGTGCTAGATAGTCTATGACTGAAGTAGTAAAATAAACACACACAGGATTTATTCTTTTCTCCTTACGCCATTCCTAAACTAGTTTGTTTGTTTGTATTATTTTACGTCTAATTAGAGTAAGCCATAGCCCTTTGCTCTATACACCCAACTGGGTAAAGAACGCCAGAGCTTACTACTCTAGTTGCCTGAGGCGCCCATATTCCCAAATATAAGAAATGAGACCTATTTAACCAATCTACGTGTATGTGAGGGGGAACCCAACCCAAAACTACCCATGGTGGTACAATAAAATTAAGAATACAGTGGTAAGATATGTCTGCACAATGACGCATAGTATATCTCAGGAACGCCGATTGGGCCTTCTTATAAAACAAATGATTTGAGCTTAGAGCACACAAGAGTGCTATCATTCCCAAACGAGTGTAACGTCTTGTGAGCCGTTTGTTGTGTGCACGTGATTATATTCACGTGCTTCTATAATTCTACAGTAGTCTAGCTTTACTCCAGATCAATTCAGCCGTAACTGGAATATTCTAGTAATTGGTAGCAAGACTGAGAACTACTGTGAGTGAAATTTTCAGGAAGCTGATATCAGACAACAACGAATATTCTGGATATTACAATAAATGTATAAGTACTTGAAGTTATACCTTAATTGTTAGCCACAGAGAATATTATAAACTACCTTCGTGTATCTGATTGCTCATGCATCAACTCTCAAACCATGATATATTTCAATCTATTTTCGTAGCACCTGTAAAACAGCGGGAAATTAATGGACCGTTTAGTTTTGTCACCTAGCTAGACTTAGATATAATCATGAACTCGGTGTGGAGAATTGTGAGTTTTTCCTTGAATTTTGTCCGTTGATAAAATATATGCAGACAGATACTTTGACCGAATTCTCATCTACAAATGCTTACTGTTGAAATCCGTGTAATTAAGCTAGGCAGACTATTGTGCTACAACATGATATTTGCCATGCTCAGATCCCTCATACACCCGTGAGCTCCTCTGAGCACGGTAAACTGCAGAAGTGAGCAGTCTAAAATTTACTTTTTCAACAACCTTGATACGCTTTGTTCTCACTGACTAAAAGGCCAGCAACGAAAATTCCCATCATTATTGTGATAATAAAATAAGATAGAGGCTAGGAGTTAATCTTAATAGTACAGCCGGTACCAAGTCAAGCTACATTAACTTTTCAAAACATACGCATTCCCTCCCAGTCGACCAGTTTGAATTGAGACACCACTAGCCACTCTAAATACTCAACTGTTTCAAATTATAATTTTTCATATTCATATGATTCTGTTTCAATGTTCAATAAATGAGATCTTTTTCAAGAAAATTAAACTCTACTTTATCAAAATTGGGTATATGAGCTTAGGAAAAATACATATTTAGAATACTTGAAGAATGTCGATCTCATCTGATATTAGTCGCTTTTTCAGCTTCAACTCTAGCGTCCCCGTAGGTAGAGGTGACCTGCATGTCCTACATAGTCGAAGTCTCAGAAAGGACAATAATAAGGATCTAATTCTAGAGGCCCCCCTGCTCTCTACAAACTCTCACATCACTTACAGTATGATGTTTAGTGAAGATGAACTACGCTACGGAGACTTCGGCTAGATGGATGAAACTAGTTAAAAAGGGGGCAGAAGTGTTGGCCTCCAAAACTGATAGTTTAAAGGATATTACCGAAATTGTTCCAACAGATTTCGATACAGATGGATAAATGATTGGAGAAGTCACGATAAATATGCTCAATATAAATAGTAAAAGCCAGCTAGGCCAATTTTCCCAACACCGATGTCTACACAACGCTCAATTTACCGTTTTTATGATGCAGAATTTGCTCTACAGTTGTTTCATCGTACTTAAGGTACGTTTGATTCCGACAATTGCGCACGGATGCGAGAAGCATTAATTTTGACATATTAGCCATTGGGTAGACACTCATCTCGCTGACTGGCTGGGATGATATTCTTGAGACAATTGATCTTCGTTTCGGTTTGCTTTGGAAATAAAGGTCATAGAACATGTCAACTATTAATTGATCTTCTTGCGGGGATGTGTATCTCTGATGCGAAGCGTAACAGATACGTGTCCAGAAGGCTCAGGAATAAGGAGCTCATCTACGCTACCAGATATGGACAATTGCATAAGAGAGAGGTGTATTTACTGTTATACTTTAGTCATAGACTATCTAGCTCATTGGTCTCCTCTCTGGCCCAGGCCAAACCTAGAACAATGCTCCTATCCTCTCTTGGTACGAAAAAAAATCTCTGACATGATGCTCATGATGGATAGCTATCTTTTGTACGGGACTATCTACCCAAAAAAATTTAAATGGAAGCAATGTAAACTGCGTGCGCGGGAAAAAGTCTCAAAAACCTGCAGTCCCAGCCAGGCGAGGCCTACACACTGGGACCACATGAAGTGCGCATATTCATCTATATCTCCCTTCTTTGTATCTTTGGAGGTCGGCTTGATCCAATCCACCATGGCCGTGTAGGGTACTGGATACGCTCCAGAAACTCATCGGATGGCTTTTCCTTCATGATATTGGTGATAAGGGAATGTGTTGAGAGATGAAGACGGTACAGACCGCGAAAGCGATTGGAAATCCTCGTCGAAGTGAGGACTTTGTTACTCAATCTCGGCTCTGCAGAATCTACAGCGAGAGCTGGAGGTTCGTAGGGGACACCACTGACAGTGTTGAAGATAGTCCCCTAATTAGGTGATTAACATAGATAATTTGCGACACGATCCGGGATATTGTCACAAGTAGCTACAGTTAACCGCTACTGAAGCCACCGCTTCTTGTGTATTGTGGCTAGACAACCAGGCCTTTCCGCAAGCCAGCAACTCCCCTTAAGCCCGACTGTCTTGCGTCCGCAGGCGGAAACCCATGATTTTGCCCGGAATACTGACCTGAAATTTCAGGTCACCATTTCTCACCCCTAGACTATTGGCATCTAGAAATTTACTGCAAAGGCCAGATCACCCTGACCATAGCCTCTCATTCACGCACAGCACCTTCTGTTCCCCGACTGTGTTCACTGTTCACCGAAGCCACGAGCACCTCTCTTCACGCGCGCGCGTCGCATGGGTCCGGATGCACGAGAGCCGATCATTCACAGTCGACAAGGCTGCGGGCACAATGTAAGCAAACACAAGTTTGTGTGATCAGCCATCCCTTCTTCCTAGCAACCCTCTCTTGCCCCCCCCCCCGGCCCACCCACAACGCACATTCCCTCCCCCAAGCGATATACGTGTAATCTGCAAATTTCCACCGAGTTCCTCCCGCGCTCTCTATCCTCCCTCTCTCAACATTTCAGTCCACACCACTCGCCACTCGTCACCCGCACCACGCACCTACCCACACCAGTCGACACCCAATTCACTGCTCGCCCACCTTCCTCTCTCCTCTGGTCCCCCGCCTTCCCCTCCCCTCCCATTCATCTCTCACATCACCTGATCCAACCCCTCCCATTTTCATCCACACTCGACTTGGTCATTTTCACCAATCTTCTCGGCTTCTCGTTCTTCACATTACTGCCATCAACCCCTCCCGTTTCTGCCGGACCGACTCCTCCGACCCGGTCCGAGATCCTCTTGGTTTTCCACTCATCTGTTCGAGGCAGGTCATTGGCAGAATCTCCACAAGGTACGCACCCCATGTCTCTCTTTCTCCCTCTGCCCCGTGCTACCCGTCCTTCCCCGTCCCTGTTCTTTGGCTTTGCTTCCTGGCTATGCCCGAGGAGGGCTCATGCGCCTTCATTTCTGCAATCGACCCTTATCGAGCCGCCATCATCTAGCTTCGCTGCATCCCTCTCGAGTCCGGTAGACCGCCAGCTCTGCTTTGCCACGCTTGAAACATTGCGCTTCACGTGATGCGGAAAGAGCCTTCACACATCCAACACCCACAATCACCATTCATTACCCTCGCACGCTACCAGGGAATCATTGATCTACAGCCTTCTCATCTTTTATGCGAGGCATTAACCAGGAGAAATTGAAAGTTTCATGACTATTGAGCCCGGGATAGTCCTTTTTGCTGCTGTCATTGGTAGGACTTGCTGATTAAATTAGCTCTAATTTTAGCTCGACCCGACCGCATCCACAGCGACGCTAGTTAGTCATTTCACATTCGGTTCGAGAGGTATTGAACCCATCAAAAATAACATCATACCGCGTATAGGTGAGACTATCTATCCCCCTTTCTCCATCGCCTCTTCGCTGGTCATGTCCACATCAAAAGGTGTAGCGAAGGTAGCTGACCCAGCTATCTAAGTCTGCCTGGTTACAGCAAATACCTGCCCCTCCTACCACTGCTGCTGCCGCTGTTGAGGCTGTGGGCGGTCGTTGCTCTCACAATTGGGTGCCACCGCGTCGCGCCTCAGCCATCGCGCGTGTGGTCTTCATTACGCACTGGTCTATCTAAATTCGGGACTCAGCTACCAGGCCCACCGGTTAACACGAAGAAGTCATCTGCTAAGTCGCTGCTGCTGTTGTTGCGAGATTCGCTAACGCCAAGGTGCAAATCTAGATGGGTTATCTCCGTGTAGTCTCACAGATATGAGCTCCCCTTGGATGAACAAAACCGCGATTCAAAACCACAATGGCTCTGCCTCCGCTTTTCCATCCAACAGCCTTGACTCAAATGTTTTCAATAACTCAGCCCCCTACGAAACACCTTTCGATGCTTCTTCATACGCCAACCAGCTGCCCTTGCAACAACAGCGGATGCCACATGGTGGCATCCGCAATGGTTCTGCTGGATCTTACAACCAATCACAACAATACCAGACAAATTCACTCGTTCCGTCCAAGAGAGGAAGAGAAGATAATTTTGGAACATCGCCACAACAGACGCCGGGTATGCTGCCTCACTCCCGATCACATACTCCTCAACAAAATGCATATTCAGGTTATCAGGCAAACGCACAGTCATCGCAGCATACACCTCAACAAATATCCTATGCTCATCTCCAGGATGCACCAGGAAATGCTACGCCATCACCCATCATGAGCAGCCAAATACGTCCCGCAGGAATACCTCAACGTGTGTCAACTGTATCGCCTCATCCATATTCACCCGCTGCACCGCAATTTCCACATTTGTCTCCTGCTCAATCTGATCAAGGAGGAAGCAATCAGCTTGATTCAGCACAGCAGAATAACCAATATGGCTCGAACCCAGTTTTCACGCAAGGCTTTGGTCAAACATTTACGCCTCCTCCCGGTCAATCTCCAGCACCACCGCCGCCGCACACGATGACTACACCCCATATACCACAGTCTCAACCCTCACAAGTATATCAACAACGACAACAAGGTCAAACAGATCAACAGCGGCTGATATTTCAAATGCAACTACAACAACAGCTCCAGCAAAGGAATATGTTGGCTCAGCGAGCAAACTTACCATCAAATCCAAACGTCATAGCTCCTCAGCAAATGCCTGCTCCCAATGGTCAATATTCTGGCGCGAGGTTATCCCCTGCTTTCCCTGCAGCTCGTATTTCACCAAATCCTGAAAATTTCATGAAAAATCTTGTAAGCTTTATGCAAGGTAAAAAACTATCGTTAGAGATGAATCCCATGTTTGGAAACCGTCCAGTTCCTCTTGCGTCATTGTACTACACGGTAGTAAAGTTTGGGGGATATAAACGAGTCACAGCAATTAATGGGTGGGAATCAGTCGCTGCCGCCTTACAACTTCATCCAACAGAGCACATCTCTGCCCCACAGTATTTGAAGGGTGTCTACGAGAGAAATCTCGTATTATTCGAGGAAGCTTTGACAATGAACCAGCAACGCCAACGCTTTCAAATGCTGCAACAAAATCCTAATATATCTGTGCCACAAATTTCTCCTACAAAGACAAAAGTTGCACCGCCTGCCACGATGCAAGACCCACTCCATAGCTATACACAGCAACATCAGCAATCTATAAACCAGCAAATTCAACAGCCACAGCAGCAGTTACCTGCTCTCGCTACACCAATCAAACAAAAGCAATCCCTTCAACCACAGCAACAGCAGCCTCCATCAACTAACGGATTCTCCACGTTACCACCATCTAAGACTCAGATTCAACAAGCTAATCCACAGCCTTACCAGCACGAGAACCAAATAAAGGTACTAGAGTCAACACCCCCGAAAAAAACTATGTCAATATCTTCTCCTGTATCATTAGTTAAACCATCCAACCTGGAAACAATGTCTCCAGAGACCGAAAAACCAGCGATTGTGCCTTTAAAGCCTCAAAAACACAAGCTGCCTTCTGAATATAAATCCAAGGTCGTCATACTTGATACCTACGGAGGGGCTGAACTCCCGACATTGGCGCGATTAGGAGGGGATCGGATGCGGTTCAAGCCTGAAGTGCCACTAGTGGGGGATATGGGAACCATAGATATGCATGCCCTCACAATGAGCCTGCAGTCTGGAATACACTCTGAAATACGCCTTGCACTAGACAGCTTAGTTTGTCTCTCGGTAGAGCCTCGAATACAGCTAGACTTACGTGCATGTGAAGACCTCCTTGAGACGCTTGTTGACTGCGCCGAGGTCCAAGTGGAGCTACTAGCGGGGAAATCTGGAGAAGCTTCGGATGTGATGCGGATTAACTCGTACGAAGATTTAGTTCGGCAGTGTCGACTAGAACAGAAGGTCTTGCAGGATATCTCAGTATTTGGCTCTCGGGAGTATGAGCTAGACCGCGCTGCAGAACGGCTAATCTGCATAACCACTATTTTGCGAAACCTCTCCTTCTACGATACAAACCATACTCAGCTTACTGAAAAGTTAGTACTAAGGTTCTTCTGCACAGCCATTCGATATCTTGGAACCCGAAAATTGCTCCTACGTACCAGCTCTAATACGCTAGACTTCATGAAAGACGCCGTCATCTTCCTATCCAATCTAGCGCAAGAAATTGAACTCTCAGGAAAGGAGGAAGCGCTGTATCTGCTTCATTTTATTCTCGCGTTTGCACCCTATCCGCCACCTAACAATGCTAATTCTAGCACTATCGTATTTTCGCCATACGACCCTGCTATACATCGATATCTACCTCCTGCCGTAGACAGCCTGGCAAAGCTATTAGCACGGGATGAGCCGAATAGAAGTCTCTTCAAAGCTATATTTGCTGCAGAAGTGACGTCGATTCCCCCGTATAACCTCCTCACCCGGGCTTTTGCCCTTGCTGTCTCGTCTGTGCCAGATGATCGACCGGATACCACCCGGGCAAAGTTGCCGCCGGTCATTGAGTCTCGAAAACCCTTCCTCATGCAAGGAATACTAGCTGCCGGTATCCTTTCCAACTTGGCTCCTGGATTCGAGGCGGGTGTGGCAAAGTCTTGGCTCACATCAGAAGACGGCTTTTCACACAATTTGTGTCGTCTTATAATTACTCTCTGCCTTGAGGTCACTCCTAATGCTCCTCACCCACGACAAGCTGTAATAACTAGGAGTTTTGACGATGACGCTTTGCTTCAAATAATCCTAGGTAGCATAGCTGTGCTTCATCGTCTTGTCGAGAAATCACGGAACCCCCAAGACCCAGTTTCTGGCAAAGACTTCTCTCAGGTTCTCGCAAAAGAAAGCCTCCTCGCAGCTATGAATACCGTGCAGCCTAGGTTACAAGGAGTTTTAAAGAGATTATGCGTATTTGCGGGGCTTGAGTCGTAGTTGTGCAGGCCTCTTGTAATAACCCAAATCATAGACGCATTGGACGATTCTCGGTGGTGGCGCATAGGGGTCGGTGTTGGATTTCAGGTTGTCTCCATTTCTTGGCCAGAGTCAAGCGCCTCTAAACAGCTTGGCACATTGTGAAGATCAATTGTATAAGAATCGGCGTTGGAAGCGGCTACAGTGAGAGGTGTGTATACATATTGATTGCTACATGGAAACTGCAGAAATCATCGCTTTCTATATGAAGCGAGCCCGTAATAACTTGCCAGTCTTCACGTGCACTTTGAGTTATGTGCATCCGTTAATCCCTGGTTACCTGCCCACTCCTGTAGGAGACCTTCCTGATGGTGTGTAACTGTACTACTTCCCTTTGTGTAATGTTTTTAGTGCCTCCGATTGGATGACGGTAATTCGTCTTGGTAGTCAAAACCTACGCTCCTCCAAGAACTTTATGATTTCTGATTTTCGGTGACCCTATGTTTACAGTGTATCAGTGACAAGTTTTTCAATGCACTCATTTGTTTAGAATTTCTCAAGAATGCCCACAACGCACCTTTACAAGAACGTGGCCGGTTAGGGGATTTATCCTGCATTCTTTTTCGTCCAAGGCCAATACAGTTCGTAGTTCTGTTGTCAGAGCGGCCGTATCGCCCTCGACTTTGCCAATCTTTGTGAGCTTTTTGTTCCCCCCGTTCTTGGTGACATGGTAAATGGGAAGTTGCTTCGAGGGGGTTCGCCGCACTAGATAGGGGCGCAGAGATGGCGTGGTTTCGGCATGAGAATAAGTTGAGACAGCAGTCACGAACCGACGTACGATGTGGAAGGTATTGGCACTACTTGGTGCGAGCGAGCTGTTGTGAAGTATGGAAGATGCCATCGGGTTAGAAGACGCAGGACACTGGAGCGTACGGCGACTAAGCCCTCGGTAGCGGAAGGACGCTAGGGCTTAGGTGAAGCGCGCGATCTTGTAAGGCAAGTTGGTGCCGCTAAGCCACAATCATTCTTCGGCGCCCCATCATTCACGTGGTGAACTTTCATTTTCTCTCTACACGCACTTAGCCTTCTTGATGATTGTAGAATGAAAGTGCTTGTGTTCTGAGCAATATATCAGCTCCCTTGGGAGCGCTTGTTTCTATACAAGGGAAGACGCGAGCCATCACGTGACTATCGGGCCCGGTTTGACTGTCGGCACGAGGTCAATTGGAAAATCAAATCACGCTCTAACAAGACACTCCCACGTTCGCTTTCTTCCTCACGTCTGCCTTCCACCTCAGTACCCGACAGCTCTCAGCGTACCATAGTAAACGCCCCGGCATCTGATTATGGCCCAAACGACGCCTGACGGCGCTATCCGAGAGAGTGACTTGCTCCCGAAGCTCGTCGCACACTTGGATCGCCATCTCATCTTCCCGCTTCTACAATTTGTCGCCGACCAGGCCGAAGAGCCGTCCCTCGAAACAACGCGCGCAAAATATGAACTCCTCAAGAAGACCAACATGACTGACTACGTTGCGACACTCTACTGTGAGCTTGAGGGCACCGAAGAGCCGCCCGCTCATTTTGTCGAAAAGCGTCGCCAGGTCTTGGATCGTCTCGAGCGTTACACCCAGGAAAGCGAAAAAATCACCGGACTCCTCGGTCGCGAAGATGTCGTGACAGGCTTACGCAGTGATAAAGTGGCAAATTTGGAATTCCTCAAAAAAGAGCACGGCGTAAGAATTATCCTTTGCTTGAAGCAAGACTGTCCCGGAAATACAAAGATCTAACCAAATTCATCTATAGGTAACGATTGAAGAGGTCAACGTGCTTTATGACTTGGGCCTCTATCAGTATTCATGCGGAAACTACCACGCAGCAGCTGAAGTTCTCTATCAGTTCCGCGTGCTTTCCACCGACAATGACAAGGTCTCAGCTGCTACCTGGGGAAAATTTGCAAGCGAGATACTCACGACAAATTGGGAATCGGCCATGGAAGAGTTACAAAAGGTGAAAGAGTCCATTGATACAAAGCTCTTCAGTAATCCACTGGCTCAATTGACCCACCGAACCTGGCTTATTCACTGGGCTCTTTTTCCCTTCTTCAATTATGAGCCAGCTCGTGACGTTATCTGTGAACTTTTTCTCTCTGCCCCCTTCATCAATACCATTCAAACAGCGTGTCCGTGGATTCTCCGTTATCTGACGGCTGCCGTTATTACTAACCGATCACGATCGCGCAACACGGGACAGTACCAAAAGCAGCTGAAAGATATCGTCCGCATCATCAAGCTCGAAAACTACGAGTACGCAGATCCCATTACCGATTTTCTGAAGGCGCTCTATATCGATTTCGACTTTGAAGAGGCACAGAAGAAGCTCTCCGAGGCTGAAGATGTGCTGAGATCCGACTTCTTCCTCGTGGCAACTTCAGATGCCTTTATCGAGGCGGCACGCTACCTAATCTCAGAGAGCTACTGCAAGATTCATCAGCGCATTGATATCAAGGACCTTAGTGCGCGTCTCGGCTTGAGCCAAGAGGATGGTGAGAAGTGGATCGTTAATTTGATCCGCGATACGCGGGTTGATGCTAAGATAGACTACAAGGAAGGCGCTGTCGTGATGAACCATCCGCCTAGCAGTGTCTATCAACAGGTTATTGAGCGAACCAAAGGGGGATTTTTCCGCACTCAAGTGCTAAGCGCGGCGGTAGCCAAGTAATGTCGGTAAAATCGGCTCCTAGAGCTTCATCGTCCTGGATAAAATTGTTGTCGAGAGTGGCACGAGATAAATATAGCGGGTACTTGACCTGTGGAAGCGGATCCCCAGGAGGACCTTAATTTTCCCCGGTTTGGGCTTTCTGAGATGGCTCTTCACTGTAAACATATGGCCTTTAACGAGTCAGAAGAAAGATACAAAAAGAGTGCACGAACGGAACGAGACTGTAACGGCAGGATAGATGTAGGAATTTGTCTAGGTATACACAAAAGGTTGGGATCTAGCTTAAAAGTAGCATGAACTATCCATCGCACTCAATCGTTCTAGTAGTGCACATTGTCCTGTTGATAATGATTATATGAGGATATATTAATCCTTTATGCCCACATGCCGGGAGTTTCTGTGCCCCGGATTGTGTAATCCCTTCTATACCTCCTTCGCGACTTTCTAGCTGTAATAAGATCACAGGTCTTCATTTGAGTACACACATAGAGGAGCCGTCATCCCATCATTGTCTCTCCTCTTGAGCCAATAAAACTATGGCCGTGTTAGGGTGTGAAGCTGTAGGAAAAAGTCTCAATTGACGACTTGGTACGGGGCTCTACTACTACCGAAATCGTGATTAAATCTAAAGAAAGAGCTAACCTTTTGAAGCACTTCAGGCCGGTCAGTTGATCGCCACGGACTGGTGTGTTCTTCAATCAAATTCCCTTTGCCATCCTAGCATCATTTCAACTTCTTCCGCCAATCACGCTGCGGAAGAAGGCGGGAAACATTTGAAATGTCAGGAAATTTTTGACTGAGGGTGAGTGCGTTTGAGTAGGCTGGCTCGAATTTTTGGGCCGTCTCTGGAACTCGAGAGCCGTAAAATCATCGACAAAAGAAGCCCTCCAGGCTCGTGATGGACCTGGTCTCGGCCCTGCAGAGCTATCGGCGAGAGGCCCAAGTTCGTAGGTGATTCTGCTGATGAGTGTTGAAGCTTTATCCATAGCTGCCACACCACATGCGCTGTAATATCTAATCTTTTTACTTTTCCCTTGCCAGCACTTTACCGGCAGCAATCATGGTACCCGGACTTCAGCAAGAATGCGCCTGTAATCTCAAGAACTGCGGCTTGTTCATTGGATAATTGCGCCTTTACAGTGCTGTATTAAACACTCCATATCGGTTGCCACGCATCCTGCCCTAGATCAATTAGGCTCTGGTAAAATTACCCGGAAGAATCGATTCTCACAGTAACTTGGCTCGAGCCACTAAAGTTGTCGAAAGCTTCTTGGGCGCTGTGCCGTAGACTGCGCGGCTGCCCAGTTAACATTACGGCTTATCCTTCACATTTGTAGAATAATGGCTTGAACCAAGCTCGTTACGGCGACTTATTCGTGCTTAAGTCCCGCGTGTTCGTCCCCACGATACGCTATGTCGTTTAGGGCCTCCAGCTCTAGTTTCGACTAACTTGAACACACTCGTTTCTGAATGTCCAGTGTTTACTTCTGCATTTTGCCTACGCTTGCTCGCTAATGTGATCACAATCGATTACAGAATATCAGAAAATTGTAATCCAGCAATATTTAATTTTAAAACCTGCGTTCATTTTTGTATTTCTGCAGAGTCAGCTTCCTACACATCCCTCAAATTTCTTCTGGAGAGGGTAACTTTGTCCGGCCCTCTCTCTTGCATGCTCTCTTTTTGCATTAGATTTTCATTGCGCATGCAATTATCTAGCTATTATACGATAGAGGAGGAAAATTACAGAATGAACGTCTCCATTTAATAATAGAGCATTCATGCCTCGGAACCTATTTGTAAGTTCCACTGCGAGGTTATGGCGGCTGTCCCTTCAGCCCAAGCCAGGCCATATCCGTGGATACCCACCCAGGGAAACGTCTCAAAAATCCGGGTTCTCCGGATATGCTTCCATCGTCCATTGACTAGTCTCCGCGCGAAATGTGGTCATAATCTTCTCCTTTCCAAGTGGAGTGCGTGCCCAGACTACTCAACCTATATCGGAGATCACCACCAAGAGATGGATCACGGCACTCTGCAACCATGGTGGTGTTTATTGTGCCAACTACACTCTGACAATAGAAGTCTTGGCGCGCAAAGAGCTCAACTTGTAAAACTCGTCCAAAATTGCAAATTTCAACATGCAATGATTTTATGCATCCTTTGCACTATCTTGTAAAATTGACCTGACTTTACTCGCGTCTATCCCAAATCTGTGCGCCGCAAATTTTTCTCCTGCGAATATTCGTTTTTTCGTGGGCGTATATTTGGTGGCCACAGAAATTTCGATGAGAGATGCGGTCATGGAAATGAGGATTCACTTGGTCGTACTTGCAGACTTAATGAGGCCTAGATAGGAATCAGTCTCACTAGGTGTGAAAGATTGACATGGAGCATCTTGAATCATTATCTCGTAGGCCACCTTATTTGGTGTAGCGAAATTTGACTGAACTTGGGTCTGGGAGAATAGTCTAATCCCAGGTTCGAAGTGAACATCACAGACAGGTATCCAGCCTTCGTCCTCCTTCATGCACAGTGTAGGCTATGTGGGGTTGGAAGCTTCCTGCGTTGCTTTATTGACAACTCACATCGAAATGCGACGGATTTATGCTTGACAGAACCCAACCGTTCTTATGCATCTAGTCTAACAGTCTCCGTCACTCGACTGCCAACTTGCATCAACCATGTTCAAGTCCCCTATCAATCGGGAATTACATTTAGCTCACTACTAATCTGAGCCGATGTTACGTGGATCACGACAGCACAATTATGTCATACTTACTAGAGATGGCTCTTTTCTCAAAGTGACACGGCTCCTCATTTGACGGCGAAGGAATCCTACGTTGGGCAAAGTTCGCGCTATAATCAACAGCATGATGCTCTCAGTCGTAAATTCAGCAGTTTGCTTGACTTATGACGCTCTCGGTTCCCACGGATGTTAACTAATCTCAGTGACCCGGAAACACCTAAAATTGAAATATATCTGCAGATCCCAAGAGAAGAGCGTCAAAAGGGTGACATTATAGGTGTTTGTGTGTCATAAATCCAGGTTATCAAGTAAGCCACATTCAGCCGATTTTTAATCCTGGAGAAAGTTTATACGGTAAAGATGATAATCTTTGAGTTTGGATTGATATTTCCCACTCAAATGTGGGAAAGATAGACGATGTGTCAAGAGAACAAGCATAAAACCACGTTTCTGAGAGGCCGATCTTATATCAAGATTAGCAGTCCAACGTCGTAGCCTTCCGCTGAGCGACAGTGAGACGAAAAATCCCGGAGATACTTAAAAAAGAGAAGAATGAGACGCCGGAATGGTGACCGATGGTGAACACCTGAACAGCTCCAGCCAAGGATGGTTGAATTTTAAAATCTACAGAGGGCATGTCTGGATTCCCATTTACAGTCAAACACTCAGCTCGGAACACTCAGTAAGCTCTCAAGTTATCCTGATCCCTCTCGAATATCCTGCACTCGCTCGTGTGACTCTTGCAGAATAGAAGGTGTTAAGCACAATGTCAACTGACCGAAAAGGTGCAATAGTTACTCGATGATCATCCGCAATTCTACCACTTGCAGATAATGCTATGAGAATACTCTATGATAACTTTTCAAGCACCAACTCGGCACTTTATTCCCTGTTAATCAACTTTCTAACAGGGATCTGAGTAAGAAGAGCTTTTGATCTTGTTGAAGCGGACTCCTAATGGCTTGTTGCTCTCGGCATAGTTTTGGGAATATGTGATAACGCCTACACACCTTGTCCATTTTCATGCATAGATAGCTTGCGTTAATAGGTAATTTATTTGGGGGTTAATTACATCTCATAGTATGACTCGTGATTTTTGGGAGAGACTAGGCTGAACTTCACCCAAATATTGAACTGTGTAAATTCCAGCAGATAAGGAGAAAGATAGAAGATGCAAGTATCATATCCTTGAGTCTACTTACAGTTTCTAAAAGACACGTCTATTTCAGCCACCAGGTACTAGGGAATATACCCAGCAACTTTCTAGTAAATCATGCCCATTTTACGCTTGTATGTCACCACATGTAGGTAATCTCACTTTTAATTTAAGTTGCGTCAGAGACAATCCAAGAACAGCCATTAATTTTGACATTAAAGGCCAGCGTAAGGGCTAAGCTTTTTGAAATTGGACAAGGTTTGCGACTACTGTCAATCGCACATGATTGTAGTGTTGGTGCTACGACAGTGGTGAAGCTGTAACATTCGAAGATGCTGAATCCATGTCCGACTTGCGCCATGATGTGATTAGAGGAGACTGGGCCCAGATCATCAGGTTCAAAAGATGATAGGTTGTACAATCCGAGGTTGAAGTCGTTAAGTTGCTTTAATTTTGGACTATGTCTGCAGAGCTGAGATTGAGTAACAAAGTCCTCACTTCGATGAGGATTCCCAATCGCTTTCGCGGTCTATATCATCTTCATCCCTAACTACATCCCCCATCACCACTATCATGAAGCTAACCACGATCAGATCAGATGGTAGGGTCGAAGCCCTTCTCGTCACCAATCCTTGATCATGGAGGAAATGCCATCTGATGGGTTTACGGAGCTTACCCAGCACTCGATATAGCGATGGCAGATTGGATTAAGTCGGCCTCGAATGCTACCGAGAAGGGAGATGTAGATGAATATGTGCACCTCATGTGGTCCAGGTGTTTAGGCCTCGCCTGGCTTGGGCTGCAGGTTTTTTTAGACTTTTTCCCGCGCACGCAGTTTCCATTGCTACCATTTTTTTTGGATAGAAGGTTCCATGGAAAAGGTGGCCGAATTCCACGGGTAAACACTGAGCTGAATGGCTATTCATCAAGGGGAATATATCAATGATCTTTCAAGTAACAAAAGAGGATAGGAGCACTGTACAATGTGTGGCCTGGGCCAGAGAGGAGCCCAATGTGCTAGATGGTCTAAGACTCAAGTAGTACAAAAAATATCACTCACTCACTCACTTTGAACTATGTGAATATTTGATATCG